GAAATGAGCTCTTTCCATTTGTTTTTTTTGATATGTGGCTTTCCTCCTCTGCAGGAAGAGATGAGCCCATGGGGATGCTGTGAACAAAATATTCCTAGGGGAATTCTAGGAATTCTTGGAGTTGTGAGTGTCTGGTGGAAGGTGTCGCTGGCCATGGCAGGAGGGTGGGAACAAGGTGATCTTAAAGATCCCTTCCAAAACAAACCATTCCAGGATTTTAGGAACAACTAGGAGAACATCACAACTACAGCATGGAATGAAGCCCAAAGTTCTGGAGGTGGCTCCTCAGACCCCAGCAAGTGAGGAGTGCTGTGCTGGTGGTTTCTGACTGGATGGACTCAATCCCAGAGGTGTTTTCCAACCTAAACCATTCCATGATTCCATGTGGGGATGTGCCTGAGAGGCAGATTTGAAATGGAGATATTTTATTTAGCTGGAAAAGTTTTGGAATCAAGCCTTAAAGCTCCTGATTTCTGTTCTGTGACCTTTGGGATGTTCTGGGAAGTCCAGGAGCCCTGTCCACAGCCTGGGGAACCTCATCCAGGCTTCTATGCTCTGCCTTGGATTATGAGATCCCATCCCATCCCATCTTCCCACCCCGGATCCATCTGGAGTGTTAGGTAAAGACTGGGGACATCAGGCTGGGTGACACCAGGCTGGTGTTGCTATAGAGTTCCACCAGCAGCAGAAGTTCTGACCCCACAGGAAGGACAGCTGGGTGCTGGAGATCACCTGGAACTGCACCTGCACCACTCATTCCCTCTCAGAAAAGCCCCGAATCGGTCCCTCTGCTCTCACAGCTCAGCGTTTGCCACCAGCCCCAGGTTTGGGTCCCGCTATCCCACCCAAGGGAAAGAGAGGTGGAAAGCCATTCCCAAGGGAGCCGGGGAGATGTGGATCCCAGCAGGTTCCTACCCCTCGATGTCATCCTCATCCGTCTCGTTGGCCTTGTGCGGGGTCTTGATGTTGTCCCCTTTGCCCACCACGGCGATGTCACACTTGAGGTAGCCCTTGAGGCTGGCCGTGAGGTCCTCGGGGTCAGACAGGATGGCCCATTTGTGGTAGAACTGGTGCTCTGCAACCCAGGGGACAAGAGAGACCTTTGTCACCACCAGACACGGCCAACGCCACCAGGACATGGCCTTGCAAGGTGTGGGACCAGCCCTGAGCCTGAGGGATCCCAATAAACCCCTGGGAAATTTGTTTTCCAATGGGTCTCTGGTGAGATTGAAGGTGGAGAAACGCCGGGATAAACCGGAGGGATTGAAGGCCGTGTGGATGTGGCACTTGGGGACATCTCGGTGGTGGCCTTGGCAGTACTGGGGATGGTTGGACTCCATGATCAGCAGCTCTAATCCACCCCTCTCCCTTTTCCAGGTGTGTTCCTGGCTCGGATGAAATGCAGGCAAAGGATCCAGCCCTGGAAATTCCTGTCTGGAATGTTGATGTCCTGCCTGGGAATGTCACCTGGGGCTTCTTCCCTGGCAAGGCAGCGCACCCAGGAGGGATCTCAGTGGCACTCAGGAGAGCTGGAGAAGAGCTGGATCCAGGGAATCCTCGGAGCCGCTTCCCAAGCCTCAAGGGGCTCAAGGAGAGCTGGGATTTGGGAAAGGGCTGGAGGGCAAGGAGCCAGGGAATGGCTTCCCACTGGGAAAGGGGAGCTGGGGCTGGGATCTTGGGGAGGAATTTCTGGCTGGGAGGGTGGGGAGCTCCTCTGGAATTCCCAGAGCATCTGTGGCAGCCCCTGGATCCCTGGCAGTGTCCAAGGCCAGGCTGGACAGAGTCTGGAGTTCTCTGGGATAGTGGGAATGCCCAAGGCAGGGGTGGAATTAAATTATCTTTAAAGTCCCACCACTCCCAAACCGTCCCGTGATTCCATGATTCCAGGATGGGATATAGACCCTTGTCCAGAGGAGCTGGGTGCTCTTCCCTGAGCTACAAGCGAGTCCAGGGGACTTTGGGGGAAGCGTTTTCCAAGGAAACCAGCCCCTGCCTGATTCCTTTTCCAGGAATTTCACCCCACTGAGCCGGCACAGACTCTGCGCGGGAATTCTGTTGTTATAAATAACACTCACTCACCAGGCTGGGTATAAACAGTCCCAACATCCATCTTGAAGGACCCCACCAACGTCCCGCTCCGCAGGAGGTTCTTGGAGTGGATCACCTGGGAATCAAGAGGGGAAAACCACTCAGGAATTTTCCCTGGAAAATTTCCTGGAAAATTCCCTGGGAGCCACAAAGCCATTCCAGAGGTCTTCGCTGCCGGATGGGAAAGGAGCTGAGGAGTTTTCCTTGGTCTGGGGAGGATTCTGAGGACACCAAGAGGCCCAATGGGGTTGGCAGCTCCTGATTGGTGGAATTGCCATGAAGTTTATATTTGGAATGAACAAAAAAATGCAAAGAAATGAATTTTTTGAGCAAGATCCCTTTTCCAGCCTCTACAGCAGCAAACGCTGGGAAATTTAACTGAGGGAAGAGCCTTTAGAATGCTCGGAATTTGAGGAAAATTGGGAAGAATTGTAGAGCCAGTTGGCATCAGGATGGATATGGATGGTCCTAATTAATGTTCCCTAATTGGGCAGGGGATCTGGAAATCTTCTCCAGGTTTTGGGTGGACTGAAATCTCAGCTTTGCTCTCAGCATTCCCAGCTCTGATGGCCCAGGAATTTCCCTGGCAGGTTCAGGAAGGTCTTTCTTCTCCACAGGAATAAATGAATTCCAAGGTTTGGTTTTGCCTGGCTCCGGAATACCAGAGATCACCCACGAAGGGACACAGGGAGAGCAGGAGCTGTGCGGAACCTGGAGTGAAGGTTGGAACAGAAAAAATGGGATTCGGGGGTTCGGCAGAAAAGAATTCCTGTTGGGAATCATCAAGAACCTTAAATCCGCCCCAAAATTGGGCTGTTTGTTTCCAGAGCCCCCCAGACAGGACAAGGACGAGGCCATCGGGGACACTTACGGAGAGCTTGATGATCTTGTCGAACATGACATCTGGGGGGACGTGGAAATCGAAGACGAAATACTGGAAGGGAAAGAGGAATGCTGAGGGGTGGGATCCCTCGGGATTGGGAACCCCCTGGAGAAGCTGCGGCTGCCTGGGGGAGCTCCGGGAGCCCCTGGCCCAGCAGGGATGCATCTGTGGGACCACATGGATCGCTGATCCCCTGCTGAGCGTGGGGAGCCAACGGAAGCGCAGATTTCTTGGAAAACCTGGGAATCATCCATCAGAAAATTCTAGAGGGCAAAGGCTTCGTTCCTCTTGCGTGCTTTGAGATTTCACCTGGTTCCAACAGGAATTTCACCCCCCAAAAAAACCCCATGGATAAGAGAGAAATCAGCGGATCGAGGGCGGAGTTGCCCAGAGGAGTTGGAGCAGCACTGGGGCCGGACCCACCTCGTTGTAGTACGGACAATTGGTGGATTCCTTCATGGACGTGTATTTCTTCTCCTCGCCCACCTCCACGCACACCACGGGGTCCATGTTGAGCCCCACCAGCTGCCGGGCCTCGATGATGGTGACGCTGACCTGGGGAGAGGAATTCCCAAAATTCCGCGTCCCGGGAACAGCTCCAGGCTGCCTTCACCCATCCCCCCCACCTCTGACTGAGGGGAATTCCCAGTGCAATTCCCACTGGGACACAGAGGAGGAGGAGGGGCTGGCAGGGTGTGGGATGCAGGAGATCCCAGGAATCCCCAGATGTTCCAGCCCCAGGGTGCAGGCACAACGTGGAAAATCCAATGGATTTAACCAAGCTGTGGGATCAGAGGGAGCGATCCCACTGGCTTCACTTCTGCTGGAAAACACAATGGGATCATGATGGGAATTGGGAGGGACCTTACAGCTCATTCCATTCCACTCCCTGCCAGGGGCAGGCACACATCCTGCTATCCCAGGTTGCTCGGAGGAGAAATTCCATGGAGACACCCTCCAGGGGAGCCTAATTTGGGCTTAGTTTGGGCTCTCTGGGTTTCACATGCTGGACAGAAAACCTACTCAATTACTTAATCCCGAGTTTATGGCTCCACCGGTGAAATTCCAGCTCTTGGGATGTCCTGGTCCCAAGCCAAATGAGTTGAGACCCACCCCCAGGAACTCAGTCCCTGCAAACGATGTCCCCAAGCCCAGGTTGTGACCCTGAGGGCGCAGGTTGGTGTCACCTACCTGGTAATCCATGGGCCTCCCAGCACTCGGCTCCATCCTGATGTCCGGCTTGGACCTTGGGAGAGGCAGTAGAAACCCTTGGTCAAACCACGGATGGAATTCATGGAATCATGGGATGGTTTGGGTAGGAAAAAGATCATCCGGAGCCTGACACCTACCACCATCCCAGGCTGCTCCTGTCCAGCCTGGCCTGGGACGCTTCCAGAGATGGATCAGCCACAGCTTCTCTGGGAATTCCATCCCAGACCCTCCCAGGGAACAATTCCTTCCCAATATCCCATCCATCCCTGCCCTCTGGCAGTGGGGAGCCATTCCCTGTGTCCTGCCCCTCCAGGTCCTTGTCCCAAACCCCTCTCACTACAAGAGCAGGGTCACCCTCAACGCTCCTTCAGCCCTGGGAGGCTCCACAGAACCCTGATGATCATTGCTGCAGGTCAGATATTCCAAAAAAAACCAGCCTACAGACTCCAGGAGACAGCGATTTCCAACATTCCCCGTGTCAGGGAATTTTTGGGATGTCTGTCCTCACCTCCCACTGGCACAATCCTTGGATCTCACCTTTTGTTGGAGACATTGGTGGTAACAGCGGTGACAGAGGCCAGGGAGATGGTGTCTGGCTCCAGGCCTGCTCCGTATCTCATGGCCTTTCTATCCAGGTCTTCTGTTTCCAGAACAGCCGGATCGTCTGCGGGAAGGGGACAAAGGAATGGCTCCGGTTTGAATTTCCATCAGTGAATAATTCAAGGCTGAGAGAAAGGAAACCAATCCATGCCCTCGGCCGGGAAGACAAAAACAATGGGAACCGGGTCGGGTCTCGGACAAGCTGCTCGGAGAAGGGGTTATCAAAGAGATGTCATGGAATTCCATCCGGGCAGAATTACTGCGGAGGGTTTTGGGAAGGAAAAATAAGGAATAATGACAACGCCCTGAATTCAGGGGGTGAGAGAGAATTTGAGCTGGAGATCTGAGGAGCACAAGAGGTGCTGCAAAGACAAACAATTCCTTGGCTTGGAAGAGAGAGGGGTGAAAAAATGGGAGAAATGGGTCATTCCCAACAGGAAATACTGCAGGAGCGCAGATCCCACCGGCACATCCCCACTCCTGGATTCCTGTTGGAAGGAGCTGCTGGAATGTTCCTTTCCTGAGGGAAAGAGTGTCCTTGACTCAGCCAGGAGGTTGAGACTGAGCCAGAGCCACAGGAGCTGGGAATTGCTGCCTCCAGCTCTGGATCCTCAGCATAGGATGGTCATGGAGCTGCTGGAGCCACTCCAGAGGTGACCACAGAGCCCCTCTGCCATGGAGCCAGGCTGGGAGAGCTGGGGCTGTTCACCTGGAGAAGGGAAGGATCCAGGGAATCCTTGGAGCCCCTTCCAGGACCCAAAGGGGCTCCAGGAGAGCTGGAGAGAGATTGGGGACAAGGCCTGAAGGGGAAGGACACAGGGAATGGCTCCCACTGGAAAAAGGGAGATTGGGGTGGGATCTTGGGAAGGAATTCCAGTCTGGAAAGGTGTGGAGGGGCTGGGCTGGAATTCCCAGAGCAGCTGTGGCTGCTCCAAGGCCAGGCTGGTCCTGATCTAACCCAAAGGAGGAGTCTAGATGGGAGGGGGAAGCACCCATGGAACATTGGGAATGCTGGCTTGGCCAGCAGGTCCAGGACATCCACCCATCCCTTATCCAGCGGCCGAGGGTCGGAATCACAATCCCAGCCCAGGGAAGGTGTGGGACAGCTGGAAGTTCCTGGGAAGAGTGGGATCAGGAGCCTCCCGGCCATGCAGACACCACACAGTGACCATTCCATGACCACGGATAAATCCAGCCTGTGGAAACACTTCTGGAGGACCAATTGCTCTGTTCCTGCCTTTGCATCCCAGATGTTTTCCCGTGGTCCTGCTGGGAGCTTTCAGCACGAGGGGAACACCCAGGTTCTGGGAAGAGCACCCAGGTTTCCATGCCAGCATCCCAGGCAAAATTCCCTTTTTCTGTCCTCAAACCTGGCTGGAAAAGAGGGGAAGTTTTTCCCAGAACCATGACCCACACCGAGGCTTTTCCCAGCCTGTAGACGCACATTCCTGCTTTTCCTTGCAGTGGAAAACTGATCCTGGGATCTGAATGGAAAGAGCAGTGAATTTCCAATCGCTGCCCTCTCCTGCCTTTCCAGAGGTATCCAATTCCAGCCCCAGCCGGGGAACAGCCCGCCCTTCCTCTCCCACTTCCAGGAATCCACCATCATTCCATGAGTGTACCTTGCTTCCGATGCTCATCCTTGGACGGACGTGTCTTCCCAAGCTTCATGGCTGAAAAAACTCCTTTTCCAGCTCTGGGTGAAGAGAGGGAGAACAAGAATTCCCATTAATTCCTGTGTTTTAGTGTTTTCCATGACGTGGGAGGCGGGACAGATTTTTTCCAGAAGGAAAAGAGGAAATGTCAGCTGAAAACAGGGAATATTCCAGAGGCAGTCAGGAGAGCAGTGGAATTCACAGCTCTGGAATCTTGGATCCCATTTTTGTCTCTGGGAATGCCTCGGTTTGGGATAACTCTGCTTCCCCATCAGCAGAGTCCTAGCTGGGAGTCCTGGTTGTGTTCCCACTCCTCATCTCTCCCGCCCAGTCCATGGAATTTCTCTCCGAGACACCGGAAAATGAAACTACTGAAAATTAAACACCCTAAAATTCAAACATCCTAAAATTCAGACACCCTAAAATTTGGACACTCCAATAATTCAGACACCCCAAAATTCACACCCAAGAATTCAGACACCCTAAAATCCAAACACCCCAAAATTCACACCCAAAAATTCAGACACCCAAAAATTCAAAGACCCAAAATTCAAATAACACCCAAAACCCAAACACCCCAAAATTCAAACACCCCAAAATTGAGACACCCAAAATTCAACCACCCCAAACTTTGCCCACCCCTGAAAGGGGAATGTTTTTAATTGGAGATTAATTTAATTGGAGATTTAATTTTAATAAATTTTAATTTCTAATTCCCATCAGTGGGAGGGCAGGAACCTTTCCCAGTTTGCTGGAGATGTTCTTGGGGCAGCTTGGAAGTAACGGGGGCTCCAAACTGGACCTCAGCTCCAGTCAGGACCTGCCCTCCAAACTGGGACCTCACCTCCAAACTCAGACCTCCCCTCCAACCATGACCTCACCTCCAGCCAGGACATCACCTCCGGTCTGGACCTCACCTCCAGTCAGGACCTCAGCTCCAAACTGGGACCTCACCTCCAAACTCAGACCTCACCTCCAGCCAGGACCTCACCTCCAAACTGGGACCTCAGCTCCAAACTGGGACCTCACCTCTCACCATGGCCTCACCTCCAACCAGGACCTCACCTCCAACCAGGACCTCACCTCCAACCAGGACCTCACCTCCAGCCAGGACCTCACCTCCAGCCAGGACCTCACCTCCAACCAGGACCTCACCTCCAACCAGGACCTCACTTCCAACCAGGACCTCACCTCCAACCATGGCCTCACCTCCAACCAGGACCTCACCTCCAACCAGGACCTCACCTCCAGCCAGGACCTCACCTCTCACCAAGACCTCACCTCCAGCTGGCTGCCAGGGGATCCAGGGGATCCAGAGCTCCTGGATTCTGCAGGACTGGGATGTGCTGCCCACAAGGGAACACCACGGAACCTGTGGGATTTCCCAGTCCCACCGCTGGATCGGGCCAAAGGGTCAAGTTTTACCCTTGGGAATTTTTTCCCAAGGCCAAAGAAACCCTGGAATTGCAGCCATGGTGCATCCTGGTTGGAAATAACCCCTGGAATTCTGCAGAGAGAGCCAGAGCAGGCGGGGAGAAAATTAAGGAGAATGGCAAAATAACGTATCTGAGGGAGGAGAATCCAACTGGGATAAGATCCAGGAATTATTTAAACCTGGGACTAAAGCAACACTCCGGCCTCTGGGAGCTGTGATTTATTCCCAGGATGCTCCAGGATGGTGCAGTTTTCCATGGAGAAAAGGTAGGGATGAATATTCTGGATCTGTAATCCCACCAGGAAGCACCCAGGGGATGGGATCCTTGGGAGTTTTTCTCAAACTTATTTATTTAATGAATTAATTTTATTTAATGAGGAAATGTTGGAATCACAGCTCAGGCTCTGGAATTCTGCTCCCAGACCGCTCTCTCTGCCGTGGAGATTCCTTCCAGCCGCACCTCCCTGTTGGTTGGATTACATTCCTGTCTTTTCCACAAAATTCTTAAAATTTGAGAGCAAAAAAATCCCTCCAGTCCCAGAGCTGCCGTTTGCTCGTGGATGCTCAGGGATAAAATCCCTGTCCTGGGGATTTCTGAGGCTCCATGGGAAGGAAAGCCAAAGTGAGGAGCAGCTGGAGATGGACTCCGCAGGGAAAACCCTGTCAGGGTCCTCTCCCAGCTGCCAAATCCATGGACACCCAGGATTTGGATACCTCAGACCAGAAAATCTGGGATTAAGCACCTGATCCAATCCAGAATCCAGGAATGTGTGCTGAGGCCCATCCCAACCCAGCCCCTTCCCAAGAGATCCATGTGGGAGCCGGGATCACGCCTCTCATCCCTGCTGGAGCGGGGACGCAGGGAAGGGGTTGGGATCTGCAGCTCCAGGTGTTCCTAAAGGACCTGGAGATGGGGAAAAGCCTCTGGAAAATCCACAGGGTGAGGTGGATGGGAGGGAAAAATCCAGAGGGCTCCAGGTGCCTCCATGGAACAGAATTCCAGATGCTGCATCCGTGCCCATCCCGGCTTGGGAAGGGAATGGGAGGGAATAACGGAGTTTGGAGGGTGCTGGGGGAAGGGAAAAAAAGGGAAACAAAAAAGGGGGAAAGAAGGGAGAAAGAGGAAAAAAAAGGGAAAAAGAAGAGGGGGGAAAAGGGTTAAAACAAAAAAGGGGAAATAAAGAAAAATTGGAAAAAGCAACAAAAAAGAGAAAAGGAGGAAAAGGGGGAAATAAAGAAAAGAGGGGGGGAAAGGAAAAAAAGAGAAAAGGTAAAATGAGGAGAGAGAAAAGGAAAAAGCAAATGGAAAAATGGAGGGGAAAATTGGGAAGAAAAGAAACTGGGGGAAAACGGGAGGGAACAGGGAGGGAAAAATGGAGATAGGAAAATAAGGATGGAGGAATGAGGGGGGAAAAATAGAAAAGAAAAAGGGAAAACCAGAAAAATTTAGGGAAAAACCCTAGGAGGAATAAGCAGGGGAAAAAAAGAAAAAAAAGGGGGGGGGAAATGTGAGGGAAAATAAAATGTGAGGAGGGAAAAAACCTGAGGGAAAAGCAGGGGGAAAATAGAAAAAAAAAAAAACAAAAAACCAACAAAAAAAAAACCCACCAAAAAACCGGAAAAATTGACAGGAAAATTTGGGAAAGAAACCCCAGGAGGAATCAGCAGGGAATTTAAAAAAAAAGGAAAAAAAATAGAGGAAAGAAAAAATGTGGGCAAAGAAAACAGCTGGGATAAAAAAAAGTGCTGAGGATAAAATGGGGAAAAAACTCCAAAGGAGAAAAAAGTACCAGGAAAAATAAGGGGAGGAAAAAAGGAAAAAAAACCAACAGGAAAAATAAGAGGAGGAAAAAAAGAATAAGAGGAAAAAAAGAGACAAAGGAATAAATTCTGGAGTGGCGGATTTTGGCGGATTTTGGTGGATTTTGGCGGATTTTGGTGGATTTTGGTGGATTTTGGCAGCACTCAGCAGGTGCTGGGAAGAAGGGAAGGAGCAGGATGAGGATGAAGACGGACGGAGCCATCCCAAATGTTCTGGAGCAGCTTCCCAGTGGCTCATCCCAATTCCCAACCCCTTCCCAATCCCCACCCGTCCCTTTCCCAAGCCAGGTGAGCCCTGCCCAATCCCAAACGCCTCCCCCTTCCCATCCCGGCTTCTACCTTCACCCGGCCCTGCAGGAGAAGGTTCTGGAAGAGCTGAGGCAGGAATTGCGGAGCCTCTATGGTGGCACATCCATTCCAGCGCCGGAGGGGACGGAGCAGGGATCTGGGATCCCTCCGAGTTTCCTCCGTGGGCACAGTGGGGGTTTTGTGGGATCTTCCCAATCCCTCCGCTGCTCCCGCCACGCTCCTGACGGCGCCGGTGGGAAGCCGGGGCTGGCGGAGAGCTGACACCGTCTCCACATGAATATTCCATGAGGATCCGCGGAGCTGCGGAACCTGAGCTGCCACCACCGCACCGAGAGCCCTCCTAGGCCAGGACCCATCCTTCTCCCACTTTCCCGAAGAACCGGAGCTCCGGAGGAGTCACTGCCGCTCCATCGCTTCCCACCTGGCTTCCGGCAAGTTTGGGGTGGAGGATGGAACATCCTGATACTGATCCCAAGTCGGGATGAATTCCCAACAAAGTTTAAATCCATCTTAGACACCAGAGACTCCACCCAGCCTCTGGAAGTGCTCTTCCCATGGATTTTCTGGGATTGAGCATGGATCATCTCCCATTCCACAAACCCTGCTGCTGCTCCTCTTGGCTTTGTCCTCTAGGATTTTGCCCGTGGGGATCTCCAGAATCCACAGGGATTCTGGATCCATTGCAGGGAGCTGGGAGCAGCCTCTCTCCTGGCCAGCTTCCAGATGAAGATCCCATTCCTGGTGAATTATCCATGGATAAAAGGATGCTTTAATCACTGCCTTTTACTGAGAGTTGGGAGCAGGGAACAGCATTCCCGTGGCTCATTTCCTTGCAGGAATTCCACCTGTCAGGAATTCTTCCAGTTCTTCCAGGGGACAGATCCCTCTGCTGGGTTCATCCTACACCCACCACCCTTGGGAAGATTCCGACCCTCAATCCCTCTGTGTCTCTTCCCGGAGCTGGGAGATCTCTTCCCGTTTTCCCTGACTCTGCTCTCTCCCTGAGGACATTTCCCTCCTTCTCCGTCTCATCTCTGCCTCCTGCTTGATCCCGTTATTTGGGAGGGTCCGTCTGTGGATGGACGTGCCGTGAATTGATCCTTAAACCACAAAACAAGGAACAGGAGGGACCTCTCGGATGGTTCCCGGGGGTGATTCCAGGATCATTCCCTGGAGCTGAGTTTAAATTTGAGCCAGAGGATCTGGCTTCCGGGGGAACAGCCCGGTGTGGTATCCATGAAAACAGCTGGGAATAAAGGGAAGGCGGGAGCTGAAGAAACCTGGCAGTCCAATGTGAGCACAGGAGCTGTCGGATCACGGAATCACAGAATTCCCAATGGGAAGGGACCCACCGGGATGCCCAGGACACCCCAGCAATGCCACCCTGTCCCTGTCCAAGAGCTCCCAGAGCTCTGGTGGCCTTGGGAATGTCACCATTCCCTGGGGAGCTGTTCCAGTGCCCAGCCAGCTCTGGGG